TCACAGTACTGTGCCAAGTCTCAATAGAGCAAGAGGAAAATGACATTTTCATTGAAATTTATTTTAGCGGAAAAATGTTTTCAGTATTCCACGTTATTACATATGTACTGCAGTTTATTTTGATTCGTCCCTGAAACCAAAATCGCTATTTTCAAACCCCATATGCAAATGAGGTCTGAGAGCTAACAAAGTAGTCTGTTCAGGAGTAGCGTTTTACGAAACATAGCAGAAATAAACAATATTTAGAAGTACGATATTTTATTCTTGGGGTACATGAATATACTTGCCGAGTACTATAGGAATTTTTGATATCTTTATTTCATTAATGAGAAATTTGACCCCAAACTTGGGGTAACTGTTCACCAGGAATGGCATTTTAACTCTTCTGTGATTTGGTTCAAACCTGGCAGGCAAGTCACACGGTCGTAGCTTATTCTACTCAGCTTGAGTATGGGCAAACACATTTACTGTTTTTTATGTCTATTTTCTTTACCGAGAAAATTGACCCCACAGTTTTTACCAGCAACGGCTTTTAACTCCTCTGTGATTTTTTTGGCTTGGCTGATATTGTTCATACTTGACAGGCAGGTCGTACCGTCACTAATTTGAAAAACAATCCTGGCCCACCGCTACCATGGCAACAGTCAAAACAGTTTTTTTTTTAATTCTTTCGCTCCAAATGTATTACCTCATACCAGTCTTGTAAAAGCAGTGTTCAAATGGTCATGCTTTTTATTTAGGCTACGTTGCACACTGGTAAGAGATCACCGGCGCCGACAACATTGTTACACTGTATCACAGTCCCTCTATAGGGACTGTGACTGTATCAACGTAATCCCAACGCAACTTTGAACTTTGAATGGAATGTAAATACTGCCTCCAATCTAGAAAAATAATATCGCCAAACGGTTGGAAATAATAAATTTAAAAGCAGAATACGTCCTAACAATACAATAAAGTTACTTCTAAAGACTGAATGGTTCGTTTACGGTGCCCGGTTTTAGTTATACAAACCGACGTTAGCTTCACGTTCATGTCCTATCGTTGCAACAGCCGAAAAAATATTGCTTGTTCTTGAGCGGAGTGGGTCGCCAACCAGCCTACCGGCTTGTTTCCATTGGCAACCGAACTATTTTTATTTTGTAAACAAATTTTCGTCTGCAAATTTGCGCTGTTACATTCTCCTTCAAACCCGGGATTCAACCATTAGGGGCGTTTCAGTAAAAAAACACATCGCAAATCATGCAAATTCAACATTTTCAAACCAGTATACATATTATTATTATTATTATTATTATTATTATTATTATTCAAGCGACAATGCAGATTTCCCAGTGGGAGTGAAACTCGACTCTGCCATTGAAAAATAGGGGTGTTTTCAGCAAAAAACGAATAACCCTGGAGTGCACACAATACACTGAATGTCATAACAAATCTTGCATTGGTAACAGCAGCAGAATACCACAGAAATATCAGACGAAACATGAAAACACTATATATTGTATTTCGGCCTGAACCTTTTCTATTGCAATACCAGGAATTACCCCGCTATGTGCAATCATTTCCCACCTTGGTATCACCTACCCCTGAAAACAAACTCTTAAGACCACACTGAAGCGTTTGGTAATGAGTAAACAATCTATTTATAACATTTCTGTTATATATGTTTATAATCTCCACCCTAAACATGTAAATTGTTGATTCTAAATAATAGTCGTCGCGTGCACCGAATGTACAAACGTAAAGTCGCTATCATAGCACAATCCCACTCTGACAAATTTGAACTGTCCCTTAGTTCAAGTGGGTTAAGCTAAAATTATAAATAATATAATTTTTTAAATGACCTAATCTACAAAGAATACAAATAGTTAAATATACAATGTTTTACTGAGAGTAGTGTTTTATAAATCACCTATCTACTACGTTGTCGCTACCCTTAATTTATAATATAAGTAAAGGCAAAATTACAAAGCGATCACATGAAAGTAAACGTATACTTACATAGCACGACTTCGCTTGTTGACGGGGTGCTTTAGGTTACACATGGAAGTCAGAGGTTGCTAGTACTTGGCCTCTCACGCATGTCTTCACGACACGGAGACAAGGTTGTGTAGACCTAAGCTTGTCCCACCAACAAGCGGTACTCCGCCTCATTATTCTCCAAGGCAGATATCAAATCAGGACTTATTCTAGGCAATTTAAGCCATTGTGGAAACGTTAGAACTTTAATTGGGCCATCTCCTTCGTACAGGAATTCAGGCCAGGCAAATTTTATTTCGTGTTTGAATTTTGTTTTTCGTATTTTGCAATGCCAGGAAAAATTCCCCTAGCGACTAATGAACGACTGAAGGACGTACACTACATGTATATGTTGATGCCCATACAATCACATGACCTCGGTGCTATTTTATGACATGTGGTCCACGGTCCACAGTGTGCGACTTTAAATCAACAGTGGTGTCATTTATCTACAGCCTTCTCACGATGTTGTCCACTCAGGAGTAACGTACATAATCGTTCTCAATAATCATAACGTAAGTAATTTCTCTGTTTGCCAAATAACAGATGCTAAACATATAGTTACGAGATGAAAAGTTCTATCGACTGCGGATATTCCTGAGATGTGTGCACCAAAAAATGTTTGTGAATTGTGCCTTCGATCAGAATATTTATATATTGACCATGTTCAATAATCTTTTCAAAGCCTTTTCTGCTCCCGCTCTTGGTTATTATAGTATCTTTAGTGAATAATTAAATAACATAGTTTGAAATATAAACAAGCTACCTTTTGCATAAACTTGTTATAAGTGAAGATTGAACTCAGAATTACAAAATTATAATCATTGTATAATTATTAACTATATAATCATTTAAACGTACATTAAAACACATCGTGCTACTACGTTTATATTTGTCAACTAAATTGAAAATAATTCATGTTGATATTGTTAACTTGAGATTACTAAACAGAAATGTTGGCTTGACCTATATTTAGTGGTCGACCAAGCTGTAATGGAGCACTCCTACATTTATCCAGTTTTGAAATAAACAAGTACTAAACCCCTATTCTTCAGGTCTTACAACTAAAAGTCCAATCCATATTAGAACACATTAACTATACTAAACAAAATTTATAGCAGGGCATATTCTCATGAAATGAACTTATTCAGATTCATTTTATTCATTCAGCAAATCGCAGATACGAAGAAACACCTGTTATTGAACAAGTCATAAATCGACGTGACACAGCTACTAATACTGATAACATGTGGGAGACACGAGACACCAAGTCTGAGAATCCCAAATATTACGAAAAGGGGTGTAACTTCCGGGGAATTTAATTACACTAATAAACAAGATCATGGTCGTAGTCTTGTTTATGACACCTTATCACTGCCTCGTTGCATAGATATTTCCGAGCTACTGAATCTCTTCTGCCCTACTCCCACATTTGGTGCCGAGACCAGGATTGAAGAAACAATCATGCCTGTAACAAGAGGAGCATTAGTACAAGATCCAACGAGGGCTGCTCAACGAAGTCAAATTACAAAACTTATCAAAAAAGCCGAACACATAATTGCGGCGAAAAACCCGAACCAAACCCAGTTGGATGTTTTGGAAGCTACGATAACCGGTATCGAAGAGACACGATTCTGAAAACACACCTAACCAAGACACGTATAATCAACTTTACGAAGAAGCCGATGACTACAACATTAGCGTTGTGGAGCGCCTAACAAGTTTCAAATGTTATGTACGAAGAACACAACAACCATCGGCACCCGTGAATGTTTCAGCTACGGTCCACAAACACAGCTACCTGCAAGGGTTACAACTCGCTCCGCAAGTACAATCGGACTTAATCGAAATTGACCTACTAATCGGGACAGACTATTATTGGTCTATAGTTGAAGACCGCGTCACTAGAGGTCGTGGACCTACCGCCGTTGCATCCAAGTTAGGATACCTACTGTCCGGACCGTCTAAATTGAACGACGTTTCTGTATTAAACGCGATCGTCATGAAAATGTTGACTAGCACTGAGTCAGAAGAACGTTTAGTCACAAAGTACTGGGACTTAGAGTCTATTGGCATTTCAGCCACTAACAACCAGGAAAACGAGGTGAAACGATCATTTGAACAATTTAGAGATACCAAAATCAAACGTGACGGCAACAGATATATTGCGGGACCACCATGGAAAGAAAAACATACACCCCTTCCAACAAATTACATGTCAGCGAAAGTTAGGACCCGGGTAATGGCTCAACGGTTATCACCAGAAAGACGCACTGTGTACGACTCCATTATCAAAGAGTAGTTACATCGAAATTTTATCGAGAAAATACCGGACGATAACCCTATGATTGGACACTATATTCCACACCATCTCGTGGAAAATTCTTCTTCCACTACACCAATAAGATTAGCTTATAACTGCAGTGCCAAGCAACATGATAACCCGAGTTTAAACGACTGCCTTGAAACAGGACCACCGATTAACAATGATCTCATAGAAATGTTGCTCCGCTTTCGTACCCGCACGGCAGGCTTTACAAGTGACGTGGAGAAAGCATAAACGTTAAATAAGCCGAAGAAGATCGAGAATACGTCAAATTATTTTGGTTAAAGGACGCATCAGACCCTCAAAGTGAACTGGAAGTGTATCGTTTTAAGGTAGTTTTTTTGGTTCAACTAGCTCACCATTTATGCTTAATGCAGTTGTCAAATCTCATCTTGACTCACACACTTGCGGTGTTTCCGACGATTTGAAACACAATATCTATGTTGACAATGTGTTAAGTGGAGTATCAACAACTACCGATGCAATACACTATTACGAACAATCCATGAAAATAATGCGCGATGCTGGACTGAATCTTCGATCTTGGGCTACAAATGACCCTATGTTACGTTAGCGACTAGTAAATGATAAAACTATTGGAAACGAGGACATTGTAAACATACTTGGATCGCAGTGGAATACTCAACAAGATACCATGCATTATCCAAAAGAGAAAATCAAACAAATGGAATCTAATGTTCTGTATACGAAACGCGAAATTGTACGCCAAACGTCACGTTTGTTCGATCCATTGGGATATCTTGCACCGGTACATGTGAAAGCTATACAGAAACTATGGAAATCAGGTTTGTCATGGGATACACAGATTTCGACCCAACTATCGAAGGAATGGGAATCTATTCGTATCAATCTTGATCATGTGAAAGAGACAAGTATCAAACGGACTTATTTTACTGAAAGTAATAATAACGACTGTGAACTTCATGTATTCGCCGTATTCCGCTTACGGTGCCGTGGCGTATTTGAAGCAATGTGCCAGTAATGAAACCTCAATAGTAATGGCAAAAACTCGTGTGAAGCCAATTAAGCCTACAATGACATTACCGGGTCTAGAAATCATGGCAGCAACTATTGCTACCCGTTTGGCAAAATTTGCGTTGAATGCATTGACCAAAGTAAATATTGTCAAATGTGTGCTATGGTCAGATAGCCAAATAGCATTATATTGGATTAAAAGTGACAAGAAGTTGCCTGTGTTTGTTACAAACAGAGCACGTGAAATACGCGACGGACCGTTCAATGAAATTAAATACTATCCCACCGCTGACAATCCCGATGACCTACTAACGCGAGGAATTACGGCGACGGGTCTCAGCTGCTCTACGCTTTGGTGGGAAGGCCCAAACTGGTTAAAAAGGGTAAATGGCCACAATGTGAAAACGCCGTACTGAAAATAAACATCGCCGACAAATTCGAACCTGTAAAGAATGTAACCACAGAATGTTACCGAAATGACTTTACATCGGACAATAATCGTACAGTTAATGATGAACACTGTGTGAAACAATCGTGTGATGTAGCTAACATCATCAATATTGAAAAGTTCCTATGGCAAGCCACAGGGGTCTTAAGTCTACAGGTGATATGCTATGTAATAGCTTTATTATTAGTTTATATTCAAACACTATTTTATTATGTACATTTGCTATTGTATTATGGTCAAACACTATTATATTATGTACATTCGCTATTGTATTATGGTCAAACACTATTATATTATGTACATTCGCTATTGTATTATGGTCAAACACTATTATATTATGTACATTCGCTATTGTATTATGGTCAAACACTATTATATTATGTACATTCGCTATTGTATTATGGTCAAACACTATTATATTATGTACATTCGCTATTGTATTATGGTCAAACACTATTATATTATGTACATTCGCTATTGTATTATGGTCAAACACTATTATATTATGTACATTCGCTATTGTAT